TCAAGAAAGTCTCTCCCAATCCACATTTCTGCCAATTGTTTCTGGGTGTACCTGTTTACCACCCTCTCACCATCACTGGATGTTTTTAGTCTTTAATTTTTACCAATGTGATAGGCAACATATCTTATTGTAATTTTAATTTATTTCTTTGGGTACCAGTAAGATTAAAGATCTTTTCGAGTGGCACTCGGATATTTGTAGTTCTCTTTCTGTGATGCTTATTTGCATCCATTTTCCACTTTTATTTGGGGCTGATGGTCTTATTCTAGTTAAGTTTATAGGCTCTCCGTAGGGCAAACAATGTAAAAACCACACCATGGGTATTTTGTAGCCACTCTGCTAACGCACTTTGCATTAGTAATTGCTGGAGAAGCCTCTATTATTCGGCCTCCTCATATTTCCACACTGTTGTTTTCCTTCTTCCCTAATGGAACATTCCCACCATGGCAGTCAGCAGGCTAGACAGCAAACATTTGAGGAGGGCGAGGAAACAAATATGCATTGGTTTCTTACACATGCTGTGTGGTTAACCTATACCCTTTAAGGCAATCCCAAACAAATCTAAGAAGTTTGTGTCATTGTTGTTTTCCAAATGAAAAAATTAAGATTCAGTGAAGGTTGGGGAATTGAGTCCGAGGTAAACGAAGTGTTAAGAGACCTCAGGTCTGTTTGATGATACCAAAAACCTGTGCTCCTTCCACCAAACCATGCTTTCTTCAGAAAAACTTCTATTAACCTAGCAGCGCAAATTAGCTAGTTTACACTCCAGGCTCTGAGGAGATATAATGCAGAAAAAGCTGAAATTGGGGCTCAGGTTTATCAATCTCAAGCTTGGGTTGGGGACTAAAGGAGGGACGATGAGGCTAAGGATAAGAGGGATGAAGTCATCCCAGGATTGACTTGGGAAAAGCAAGAAAAAATGGAAAAGACCATCTCTGAAGTACTGAGGATATGGTGCCAATATCAGTGAGCTGGAGCATGCAAACACAGAGGAAAAAGAAAGACTGTTCAAGGATGAACGTGAATGCACCTCCATGTTTGTGAATTAGCGAAGAAACGACATCAAAAGAACAACAACGACAGGGACTGGAGAACAGGTAAGATTAGTGGTCCCTCATTATGGGCGCCATTCAGACGGTGGAGTTAAAAAAAGCAAGAAGTGCACACTGCAGCAGCCTCTCCCCTTAGCAAGCATGTTCAAATACCAGAGACCTGCCCTCGTGGCAAGGCAGATTGGTGACACCTTGGCCTGTTTATCCAAAAGCAAAGATGTGGGTAGCAAGATTTCTAGAAGTGTCTTCTTGGCGTATAAAGGACAATTATGATAGCTTAGGCCACTGGCTTTCAGTAAATTCCATCTGGTACTTTACAAATTAGCTCATTATTCTGCTGTTCTTATGAATGTGTTAGTCTGCAAACATATCGTTGTCACAAATTAGTCATCTAGTGTTTCTCAGAAAGTGATTTAATATAAGCACACCCACATCATAATATAGAAAGTAAAATAAGTCCTTGCTTGATCCTCCAAATGGAATTCAGCATAAAGTATGATTCGATTTCCAAGGTTTTTTTTGGCATACACATCATCTCCTGATTTTCTAAGATTAGAATGTGATTGTTGCCCTGAATATTGACAATATCATGGACTATCAGAAACCTCTTTGGTTTCCCCATAAACTCCAAGAGAGACCCAAGCCTACTGATAAATGACGGATTTGCAAATTGAACATAACTTTTGTTTGTTTCTATTTACATTTGTTATTACAGGTGTCATCACAACTGTTGTTTCAATTCAATAATAGCAATTGCAATTTTGAGAATTAACTTAAACATCTGATTTTAAAGTGTTTTTTTTTTTTTTGTGGCAGATGAGCTTACCCACCAGCTATTTAGAAAGAAAAAAAAGATGAGAAAATGTAAGCTTCCCTCTGCTGTTTGACTTGATTAGCTATGAAGAAGTGGCCTTTTGGATTATAATAAATATTCCATGATGAACTGTCTCAGGGAAGACACCTATAGTACAGGTTTGGAGCTGCCAACTCAATGGCTTGATGTGAACAAATAAGGAAAATTTCCTGTCCTATACGATAGGGTTTCAAGGTGGAGTGTTCCAGGGATGGTTATGAAGAGGCTCAGGCATATCACCTGGGTTCTGCTTTATCATCTTAGCAAGTTGTCCTTTTGCTTAGACTGACTCCCCCCATTATCACAAGATAATGGCCCTAGCCAGGCTCAAAGCCCAAAGGAAGGAAATGAACCCTTTCTTCCTTGTGCTTCTTTTGATGAAACGCTTCTCCCAGATGTCATCTCAGCCGACTTCCCTTTATAGCCGTTTGGCTAGGTTTGGTCTTATGACATAAACCAATTCCTGGCCAGCAAATGGGATTAGACTGTTCAGGATTCCCTCTTGAGTTGGGCGTGGAGTCGCCTTCTCTGCTTCCAAAAGTAGATTCCTGCAAAAATAATTGGGTTTCCACCAGTATGGAAGAAGGCAAGGTGGATATTGAGTAGATTACAAGCAATGGTAAAGGAACTGTGATGTTAATCACATGGTAACAAATATTAAAAGTGGAGTTTCGGCAAAGGCAGGCAGACACAATGGAAGCTGCATCCCAAAGGGTAGTGCCAGTCCTACATTCCAGTTTTCAAAATAGGGGGCCAAGAATCAGTTTCATGGCTTTTGGGCCCCTCACATAGGTGCCTTTAATTCAGATTGAGTCGATAAAAGAGTTCAGAGAAGGAAAGGGAAGAGTAATTTATGAAAATGAGTTTTCGTTTTTGCTTTTTTTGTTTGTTAAGAAAGAGAGAACTGGGTATTACTGTGAGTCCTCCCCTCCCTCAAAGGGGGCCGCAGTCATCTCTTTCACATCAAGCCCAGAGAAAGAGCCTTCAGTGGCGGGAATTTTTCCCACGGACCAGATGTACACAACACTAGAGAGAGAACTGGCCTTGAGATATTTTATGTCCTTCCCAAGAGGACCATCTGGAAAAGGCACTTGGACTCCAACAGCAAGAGTTTGTAGGTTTGGACCACTGCAAAACCAGGGGCTTGGTGGGGGGCTGATTAACCAGCAGCGCTTTGGAAACAAAGCCCTGCCTGAGTCATAGGAGTTGCAGCCAGGGGGCCCAGCAGGGATGCTGCTGATGAACCCACAAATGTGCCCACAAAACAGAGAGGCAGCTTTCAACATCTGCCCGGTTCCCAGAGCAAGATGCCATCTTACGACAGTGCCAATTCAAGAAAAAAACCATCTTCTTCCTTTCATCACCTCTCTGCATGCTCTCCGACTCCAAAGTAGTCAGTACTGACAGCTGGTAAGTCAGGAGAGCAAGGAACGGGGAAGATAGACCCTACTCCCTGACCTACCCACTCACCCCAAAGCAGCTAGTCTTTTATGGGCCCAGCTGGGAGCGGGAAGAAGATGTGAGTTAACTCAAGTCTGGAGTTTTGGTTTAGAGTTTGGAATGGACATTGTAATTTCCGAATGGAATCTGAGTTGACGGTTTAAAGTGAATGCAAAGCTCTCTGTTGCCTAAGAGTGCTCCAAAAAGTCAGAAGACTTTCTCCGTAAATCAAACTTAAAAGAGTAGTGGGGAAACCAAAAGAAAGTGTGTTTTTCATACATATCACATGGCCTTATTTTCAGTGACCTTGTTACAATGTTGATATCCTTTAAAATATCTTGACCATACCACATCACATTTGTATCTCTTCTTGCGTGTTTCTCCTTTCTGTCTTCCTCTGATATTTGAGAGGAAAATTATTTACACCTTTCAGCAAATGTTCTGACCTTTAAAACACCTGTGCTCCAGTAGAAGGCTCTCAAAGTAGGTCTGTATTAAAGGTGTGGGAAGCAGTAAGTCATTCTGGAAAGGAAAGGAAATGGGAACTGTCTTTCGCCTTTCCTTGTCTTTCTTGACTCCTTCCTCCCTTCAGACTCCCTTGGATTTGAAGTTTAGGATTGTCACCTGCTCACTAGAGCTATAGTCTAGGAGGAGAAGCCACCAAGGATTCGGAGCTGCAACAGGTGCTTGATCATTCTCCTTCTCGAACAAAAATATTCAACCTCCCGACACACAGTGGCAGCCTCATCTCAAATGGCCTGTGTCTCTAATCCGTGAGGAGAGGGAGAAAGTTGAGGAGTTTATGTTTTCATTCACTTTGTTCCTGCTTCCAGCATAACTTCCATTCTTTAACAAGTGAAGCAGGAATTTCAAATATCAAGGAAGCTTGCCGAGGGTCTTGACAACAGAGGCTCAGGTGCTTATCTGTCCACTTCTGCTTTTTCCTTTTGCTCCAACCCCTGTTCCATCACCAATCTACAGGGGAAGAGTCAGTGAGAAAGGAAGAGAAATCCTAAAAGTAAATTTACTATTTGATCAAGTTTTCTACTTTATTTTGTGGAAAACTTTAAAGTTCTTGTGTGTCTTCATCCGTTTTACAAATCTTGGAACTAAGAACAATAGATGAAATCATGTTACATCTGCGTTGAATTCTTTCCCACTCATAACGTGCTACTAATGGAGAAAAGTATAAGCTTACATGGCGAGGCAATGGGATTTCATATTAATATTTTTCTGCCTCATTTGGTTTAGGAGATGTGTTGTTTCTGTTTTGCCCATTTGTATCTATTAAGTGATCTGTGTGGTCCATAGTGATGCTTTTCCGGGTGGGATGAGCCAATTGTAGAGAGGCAGGTGAGTTGATAGTTTCAAGCATTCAGCCCTGTGGATTCACCCCCAAGTCAGAACATTGAAAGCTGCAGAGCAGAGGGTATAAAATGCCAGGTGAAAGAGAAGGTATCTGTCCATAGTAGGCAACTGGGATTTCATAACTAGCCTTGAATTTATTTTGCACTCAAAAGCAAAGAACGTTTTACTTAATTATATCAAAATGACTTTAAAACTATTATTCTAAAATACTGACTTCTGGTTTTAATACATTTTAATATTTTAAGACTTTTAAATGATTATTTTAAAATAGACATATGAATGTCCTTTTTTCTCCCTAAAAAGCAATTATGCTTTTCAAGTACTAAATTCTCTTGCTCTATAAAGCCAATAAAAATTATGGCATTTTCCCCTTTCCTTAATCTCTCTCTTTCTCTGTCTCTGAGTTTTGCCTCCTTATTGGAAACAAATTAATATTCAGTGAAGAAAACGGTGAAGTTTGAGAAAAATAAGAAGCTAATATTTTGACTGGAAGTGTAATAGATGCCAGCCATAAAAAAGGAGTGCTGTCTCCAGAACCTCTGCATGTGGATGTAGATGTAGATGCTTAATTATTAGTTCCACTTTGCGTGTGTGTGTGTTTTAATTTAAGCCCCTTGACCAAGTAATCATTAATTCAATGTCAAGCTAATTCACTCTGGCTATTTAATATTACAATATAGTATTGATTTTAAATAGTTTTATTTTTGGAGGGAAGGAAACGATTTATGAGTAGCAAAATAAAATTTCTCATATAGTGACTTGTCTAGTCAAGATTTTGATTGCAAGGAAAAGAAACCAACTCGGACTAGCTTCTGTAAAAAAGGAGTGAATATAGTTACTGTAAAGATACAGCAGTTCACAGAAATAAAGTATATGGGCCTTGTTGGGTTGGTAAAACCCAAGAATCGAGGCAACTGCTTTTTGGGGTCGTGTAATCATCCATTTCTCTTTGTCTCTGTGTTTCCACTCTTTGCCTGCTTCTCCCTGTGTTTGCTCCTACTACATCTGTTTGCACTTGACCCAAAAGGGCAACTTCAGCCCCCAAGTCCGCGTGACATTTTGGTTCAAGCCCACCTTGAACTGATTAGAGTCTCTGTTTTACTTCTGACCGTTCACATTCCAAAGAAAGAACATGCATATTTGCTGCCCAGTGAAGGAATCAAGGGGCAGTGGATCAGGTTTCATAAGGGTAGTGGGTAGGGAAGGCGAGCTCTTTAGAAGGAGGTGTAGGCAGACGGAAAGCATCATGTTTGGTATAGTGCTTATTTCTTTAGGAGAATCATTGACTCAACAAATATTTCATTGAGCTCTTATGATGCACTGGACACTCTTCTAGGCTCTGGGGATACAGTAGGGACAAAACAATCCAAAAGATGCCAGTTCACCCCATGAAGTTGACATTCTAATGATAATCTTTAATTATCTATTTCAAAGATAACTGAAAAAAATGGAGTAACAGTCTCCATACAGTAAATACAAGATGTTGAAGTAATAATACGTCTGTATATGTAATATCTATATTGCAAATACATATATAATTTGTAAATATCATAGTCATGCTTGCTTTTAATTAATTCCGTTAACTGTCAATGGTGTGTGAGAATGCACGCGCATGTGTGTGTGTGTTAGAAGCAGTAACTGAGGTCTTTGGATTTTAAATGGCATCTGATCTGTAGTCTTTAATGCAGCCTCTTCTGACTTTCTATTAAAATAACTATGAAAACACACTCCCCCAAAATTACAATTATAAAAGCACTAAAAGCCAGGACTGACGATTCATTGCCAGAATATTAAAGAACCTATAAATTGGATTGAAAATATGAATAGTAGACGATGCATCCTATTCCATTCTAGGAGTAAACATAATTTCTTAGATTTACCTAGATGAGAAAATAGATACACTATACACTGTTACTATAGTAGATATATAACTACCCTAAGTTTTTTAAATGAAATATACAAGCAGATTCAAAGATGGATCAAAATTAAGGAGGTAGAAAATCTGTGTGATTGCAGATACTCACATATTTGAGCTGGAGTAAAATAAACACATACTGTTATCAAGATGATGATAAGAGGTTTCATTTTGCAAGTAGACACAGCTTTAATGTTGATAGTTGCCCCAGCTACAGTGTTCATGTGGACATGGAAAAAGAATAAATCAGTTATTCATTTCTATTTTTAAGACTCGAGATTGATTTAGCTAATTATATTAGTGGAATGTTTGAACTCTTGAATATATATTTTGAATTTGTTCAGCTTTGAGGTTAGATTTCTCAAATCTATCACAGAGATTCTATCTGACAAATGTTAGAAAATTGGATCTGATATTTCAATACGTAGATATTAACTACAAATGACTATTCTTCCTTAGTAAATACTAAATATATTTTTCTCTTCATTCAGGTTTTAATTATGCATATAATACATGGAAACATTCTTATTGAGAATATTAATCAATTCAGAAATATGTAAAGTAAAATGTGAAAATCTTTTGTTAATCAGGCCCACTTTTACTTCCTTATCTCAGTGGCACTTTGTCCATAGTTTGGTGTATATCTTCCTGGTTCTTTTCCGCTCCATTGGTATAAATGTATATTTATATACATATGCATATTTAAATTGATGAATTCACATTGAAGATATTATTCTGCAAACCTGAGGGTGTTTTTCCCCTACCGGCCAATGTTTCAGATATTTTTCCAAGTCATTCTTAGGAATCTATAATATTCCATAAACATGGGTATATTTTGAAACTGGGCCTTAACTTATTGCATGAAAACTATTTTGACTCCTTTGAGTTTCTGAAACAAATATGATACAAAGCCTTTAGAAAAGTTTAAAGTAGAAATGAAATATAATTCCATTTCAGAAGTGGCTTCCAACATTACCTGATTGGTTTTTATTTTTTTCCAGTTCAATTTAAGTAAATTACAGACTAGGTGAAGAATCTATATTTTACTACATTTTCTAATGAGCAAATTTAAAGTAAATATGAACAACATTTAAAGAGCTCTCTTCACATTACAAAGTATTTTTCTATAATTTACCTCAGTAAGTTAAAAATTATAATCATCTATGAATTATGTTATTATTTCCTTGTTACAGATAAGGAAATTGAGTCTCACTGAGGTTTAGTGAGTTGTTCAAAATTACACAAAAAGTAAAAGGCAGAACCTGAAATTAAGGGCTCACATCTTGAGACTCCAAGACAGAATGCAAATTGGACTTTTTCGTCTTTGAAATTGCTGGGGCTTTTTCTCCACATTCCATTTTGAATAATAAATACTAAGTGCTTTCTTTGTATTGTAGCATTGGGTATTCTAGAACTTCTACTTCCAGAAATATTATGGAATTTTTGCAAGATTTTAAGTATCCCGATTATGAAATCTGTTTGGTGATAGGAGGATTTTTTCCTGTAAGTGCATTTATTTATCCCTTAAGTTGAGAAGATTTAAGCTTAGACTATATGATCCAAAACGACTTCTTATATTACTTAAATCATGAAGATTTTCAACAAAATATCTGTTGGCTGTGATCAAAATAGGTGTTTAATGAATTTCTTTTTTCGCTTTTCAATTGGTGGTTGTATCCTTGGTTATAAGAATATGTAGAAACATCAAACGCACTACCAGCTTGCTGAAACATGACACAGTTCCCTGACTCTTAGCGATTGAAACCATGGCTGCATGAAGAGCTCCTCTTATTTCAGTTTTAAATGTGCTGAACAGCATGCCTTCAGACTTTGCTAGAACTTGCCGTAAGTGGGAAGTCATCACTATCAACATGGTCATTACTTAACATTTACTGAGTGCCAACAACATTTTTGGTGTTAGAAATACACAGAGGAAGATGCTGTTCCTTTCTAGAAGGCTTGGTTTTTTTGTAAGTGTAGGAGAGAAGATTTGGTCTCGAATGTTCTTTTCCTACTGAGAGGTAGGGGTAAGGAATATGCAGTCATCTTGGGTCTCATTCTACATATTGAAATGCCATTCTCATCTGTTTATTAATTGATGATATATATGTATATAATACATAGAACGGAACTATGTATATTTATACATACGTACTCATGCATATGTAAAAAGTGCACAGAAATTTCTTTTTTTATTGGAAATTTTTTTTTTTAAAATCTCACCTTTTTGGCTTTAGGCCAAAAGTAATATTCCCCAAGACATCTAAGTGACTGTAGTTTGTATTTCTTAAGATATAACATACTTATACTACTAATATAGAGACTGTGCTAAAAAAATAAAGCATGCACAGGTATTTGTATATGTAAATATTTTTATACAAAACCAATATGTAGAATAGAGGAAGCAAATGTTATCCAGCCTCATGAAAGAATGGGACACTTTCCTAAAATATCTGAGCTGATAATTAATGTTCATAAAAGATTAATAGATCACCTTTTAGATCCTTGACATTTCATATCTAAATCTAGAGTAGTTTTAATTTTATTTTATCGAAGTTATTTAAGAGGCAATCATTGATATGAGCTATTGGTTTAGCAGAATGTGATGGTTACAGAAAGGTATACCTTAACACTTAAAATTAAAGTTAGATTCTGAAAGTGAAACTCTGGGAAGATCAATGAGGTAAGTCATTACACCCTCCATATCAGATAAGTGGCTATAGAGTTTAGGAAACACCCAAGTTCAGAGACTAGGGTGTGTCTATATTATGCTATGTTTGTATTAACATAAAAGTATAACTTACCCTTTGTAAGATACTCATTGAGAAGGAAGCATGTAAACTGAAGGGGTTTAAAGAGAATGGAGACTTGAAACTGACAATACAGAGAGAAGAATTTGCCTAGAAAGTATTAATTTTGTATTCCTACTGTTACGTTTTTGTAAATATTTTTTTAAGAACTAGACTCTCTTTTTCAAACCTAACCTTGAAATAAAACAGGTAAAAGCAGAGGCTCTGGTGAAACTGCCCAAGGTACCTGGCCTCCCTTTGCCCTGCAGTTGGCCTGAGACAACTTTGCAAACCACAGGGTTCCCAGGAACTCAGTTTGAAAACCATCACCCTTGCAAGCATAACCCCCTAGTCATGGCAGCAAAGGACTTTAATTTTAGAAAGAGGTCATGAGGACACTGGCTAGTTAGTCATTCTGCTCTGATTCTGAGGGCACTAAACAATCTTTCATGAAAATGTTGATTAGAGTATTCTGGTTTGCTCTGCGTTTGTAGTTGACATTTTATCAATAAATTAACATTCTGTTTTTTAGTTTTTCTTCCATCAGTCTCATATGAGGATGGCTAATGCAAGTCTATCCTTGAAAGACCAGTTACTCTTCTGCTTGCTATGGGATTAGATTTTAAAATAGAAACAAAACCCAGCTTTTGTGCCAGGAGAGCTGAGGCTGCAAACGTGGCGGCAGGGACCTTGCCGAGTCTGTGCCCATCCATAGTGCCTGCTAACAATTAGCACTCCGGTATTGATTGAAATGTTGGGGCTGGACTCAGCCATAAAAGTGATTTTTTATATTTACTCTTGATACTTCTTAGAAGTTCCATGACAGGGTGATTACCTTTTAGTAGAATAAAACAGCTTTGTATTACCCTGCTCTGTCAACTTTATTCATCTTTGAGAACTTATTTTTAAATTACAGACCTATTAGTTCTGCACAAATGTTGTTTCTTGAAGACCACACATTTGTAAAATCCTAAGTCTTGCTAAGTACGAGTTCGTAAAATAGTGGTCATAACTCTGAACACCCTGTTTCATATATACATGGAATAAAAATGCTGGAAATAAGCTATTTGTGTTCTCTAAGAAGGCCATTCTTTTATATATGTTGCCCTGAGTTTTCAAAACACTCAATTTAGGCTTGTTTATTAATATGTAGTCTTGGTTCCCTGAACTGTGAAATAAATTACGTTTTTTCCTTTGTTATCCCTCAAGCAGAAATTTGGCTTTTCTACCATTATCATAGCTTCTTAGTTGTGTGTCCTTTCATTCTAATTTGTCATACCTTATTCTAGACAGTGGCATATATAAAAATAGAAATAAAAAGCCACGAGAAGTTCACTTTAAAAATATTCAGTTGAAATCTCCTTTTGGTTTAAATGTATTTTAATTTTATGTCTCCTTTAGTACTCTGATGACTACATCATTTGTGTTTTTTATTTATAAAGTGCTTTGTTTATATCATTGCCCACAAATGGAACAGAGCTCAGAAGTATTGAACGTTGAACTGTGTGGTAACTGAAAAAGATTCAGAGATATTTTTGGTATCATATCACCCCTGGGTATCACTTCAGCATGTGAACAGACTAGAGTAGAATGGACTAAAAGAATTAAGAAATTTCAAATAAATGATACAAGGAAAAATAAATTTCTACATCACTGTTTTGATCCTCGTATTTGCTACTTCCCATGGAGACCTACTCTTTTACATAGTGTAGGGACCAATATTGGTTTTGAAAAAAGTTCATGTTCATCATCATATAATCATCATCTTCAAAGAACATTACCCTGCCAAATAATCTGAATTCTCTTACAGATCTACTGCTAACATGATGTGCGATGATGAACAAATATTATCCTTTTGGAGATTCATCTCCAAAATTGGCATAATAAATGTCATACGCTCCTCATGATTCTGTGAGGCTAAAATAATACCTTTAAAAATAATTTTTTTAGAAAGCATAACACTAATGCAAGATGGTATCATTCTTATTTTAGAGGCGCTATAATATAGTGGTAATGCACGCAGGCTCTGGAGCTAATTCAAAGCGTGACTTGCTTCAAAGCGTGACTCTTACTCGATGTTTGATCTTGGGCAAACTGCTCAACATCAGAGTGCCTCAGTTTCCTCATCTGTGGAACAGAGCTAGTAACAGTCCTTATCTAATAGTGTTGCTGTGAGGATTAAATGAGATAATAACACAAAGCACTTAACACATGGCCCGGGACATTGTAAGTGTTCCTTGCTCTTAAATAATAATATTTAAATATCTCATATAATATCAAATTTTGAATTACTCTGTGATGCTTGATTCAAAGCTTGTTAAAAACAATTTAGACTGGAGTTTTCTGGTTCAGATTACAAATGACCTTATGGAAGACACCACAGATGACCTTATTCCCTTTAGAAAAAGGAAGTCATGAGGACACTGCCTAGGCCTCAGGAAATCCCAGAATTCTTAAGTTCCTTTTAAGTTTTTAACCATCTTTCTGAACCTACAAGTTCAAGTCGCATTTAAAGGAACCACTCAGTTCTTCCTGCTCCCAGAAATACTTCTATTAGGATCATCATTTGATCAAAATGAAAACTCACCAAATCATGGCAGTTTTCATGATTAAATTTCTTTATGTCTGGTTTTGAATTTGTGGGAAATGCACCCCCTCCCATCTTTTCTGCTATGACAGGGCCTCACTAGGGAAATCCTAACTGAAGTGAATAGCATGATATATTAAATGTTGCCAGTATTCCATTTAATATTAAGCAATTGCATAACAGCCTTTTTAAATACCTAAGTTAAAAGTGATACATTAATATTGAGTACACTGCCACTGTAAAGTTCATTCTCCTACTGATTTCCAACAAACACCATTTAAGTGCCAACCTACTATTACAGGAGTTTACTATTTTATTCTTGCTCCAAAATGGCATCAACAGAGATGGGGTGCTTTCAGGGGATTGTGGAACAGAATTTTTTGCAACAAAGGGGTATGCTTGAGGAAATACAAAATATCCACCGTGGGCATGGCCGTGCTTGATCCGGCACTCCTCAGATCTCCACACCCCCTCATCAAACAAGCAGCTTTATGGCATGCGCAGTTGCACATGGGTATCACCGACTTCCGCAGAACTGCCTTCCACGGGATTTCCTGTGCAAAAATTACCGTCTGGTCATCTGTAACTGAATGGTTACAAATCAAGTTAGTCAGACATCCCCACCCCGATATTATTGTTTTCTTAAAAACACAGGAGTCGAAGTGACCAACCCTGTCGTTCGCAAATTCTCTCTGGACTTCTTTTATTCTCTTTCTTTTCATTGGGTAAGAAGGAAAATACAACACCTCCCCAACCCCCCACCCCCGTCCTGTCTATTTGTTCAGGATGTCATTGCCCTGGGAGGTTATTTGCAGGTTTCTTACTGCTTAGCTTGTCTTGCTTGGTAATTACTTACTGAGAGAAATCTGCTCTTTTAGGGCGAGCTGTTCCTTTAACCCCTTTGGCTCTCTCTTCCTTGGAGGCGAGCAAGCCCGTGCTGCAGTGTCTGGGAACCCACCTAGAGGGCCCCCTTGACGCCAGCACATCGCTGTCAGGCAGCAGTCTCCGCAGCCGAGCGGGCTGCTGCAGAGTTAATGTACAGTACCACGGAGCCTGCAAGTGTCCTGAGCTGCTCAGAGCCGCCGGGCGGCACAACCCGGGCAGACAAGGCGGCTGCGGCGATTCCAAAGCTTCTGCTGGAAATTCGGCGCTGGGGGACCCCAGCAGGAGCCTGTTGCCATTGTGTTTTAAAAGCATGCAAGGTCTGTATAGCTTGGGCATGAGAATCTTTCAGAAGATGTCAGAGCATCAGAGTAAATGACACCTATTGGGGGAATTGAATTTGGTTAAAAAGAGAGAGAGAGAGAGAAAAGAAAGACAGCCTGGAGAAGAAATTCTTAGACAACGTCTGACTTGCAGCTGTGAAATTCATTTTCTTTCCAAGGCAAAATATGAAAAGCCCGCACATGGTGTTGATAACAACAAATTAAAGGGGTTTCTGCAGTGGAAGGATCAATAGCTTAGTCATTTTACTTAAAGAGAGCAGACAGCCTTATTATGGGGTTAGGCAGCAGAAATGAATTTCCTCATGACAGAACCTTCTGAAGTCATGACGGTAGCTCATGGTAATCCCGTCCTGCAGAGCAGAAATTGCTCGTTGCCTTCCTACTTTGGCAGTTGAAAACCAGCAGTTCTGAGACTGGGGAAAGAAGTTGGCTTTGGTCATACGTGGTTTCGAGCCCCTCTGCCCAGGTCTTTGTCCGAGTCGTCACAGAAGGCAGCACTGCGTTAAAGTGACCACACATGAATATGTGCCTAAGAAAGAAGAAAAAGCAATATTCATTTCTAAAGGACAGCATGGCAAAGCAGCCTGAAGTTTTCCATTTCCCTTCTAACACTTCTTTAACAAGGATAACAAGAAACTGTCTTTTGACTCCTTTCTTCCCACATTCCAGAGTCCTTCTTGCGAGGATGCATTAATCTACACTCTAGGCGGCTGGATTTTACCAGAACAATATTTGCCACCACTTAGGATTAGCGATTGAACTGGTTATTTTAGTGTGTTGACTAACTAGTGGAACCTAGATGGATGGACTCCTACCTGCCGTGCTCTGCGATGTTTCTTTCTTCAAATCCTGGAAGGGCTTTCATGGTTGCTATTTGTTTTTGGGGGGGGATTTTTTTGGAATTCAATACTTGTTGCAATAATTGCCCATGATAGCTGCTCAAACAGGAGAGTTGGAATTCATCTCTGAAAATCACTACATGTAACGTATGAGACAAGGAAAATATTAATGACAGAAGATCTGCAAATATGATGCACGTGAATAATTTCCCCTTTAGAAGGCATTCCTGGATATGGTGAGTAATCAATGTCCCCTTCAGTTTGTAGAACTCAGAATTGTAGAATTCCACGGCAGGTGCCTGAGGAGGATGTATCTTGAGCAAGAATATTGGTATCAAGTAAGTATGAAAAGTAAAACATGCTTAAAACCAAATATTCTCTGAGAAAGTAATGGTTATGCAATAACAAATTACTTGCTCATGTAAAAGCATCTGAAAATAAGAAGTCAGCTATGAGGACATTTACATTTGCTAACATTTCGGAGAGAGAAAAACAAGACTAAACCAAAGCTCACAACAACTTTTAGAATGGCAACTATTTGACCAATAAACAAAAGAAAAAAGGGAGGTTTGGCATTTGTTTTTTGCTCTTTTGTTTTCTTTTATTTGAAAATTCACTGGGGAAGGGCACATGCAATTCTGATATCTAATATCAATTTGCCTGGCCTTCGGTCTTTGTGAATTTCCAAAAGAAGGGCAAGGGAAAGCTTAGAATGTTGACTCAATTTTAAGATGATACTAAGATGTGTTGGTGCCTCACTTTTACGGGATATTTTAACTATTCAAGAAATATTTCCACTAGAATGAACGAGTTTAATAGAATTCTAACACATGAATCCTGAAGTGCTCAGACTCTCATAGGACTTGCCGAGTTCCTTGACGTCTGCTCATGTATTAAGGTTCAATGCCCTGAATGAAGATCTCTGGACGTGTGACACTCTCTACCATTTCTTGTTAGAGTTTATGGCTCAATGTGTAGAAGAACTAATTGCTGAGGGTATTATGAGGGCAAAGCTCATGATTTCAAAATTGCTTGTTTTCACCACACTAGGGTGGACTGGATGCAGTCTCTGAGCAGAAACTTTGTGAATGCATGATAAAAGCACATTTTAAGGTTTTCTGGCTACTAACATGGTTTGTTTTGAACAAGGCAATGTGTCTGATTTTGAGTCTATTTCCCAAGTAAATTTTTTAGCTGGTATCAGGCTAAGTCATAGATATCAAAATACAGGTTTCTGAGTGTTTTCTTAGAGCTGCTTTTATGACAATGTCTCAAATAAACGCTTCCTAATATCTTAAGGCTCCACCAAAATGACCTGCTGGTTTGTTACAGACGTTTCAGCTTGTTAGCTGAAAATCAGTTGCAGAGAAGGGTCAGTGACATCCTTGGTCACTCTGGGCAGGTGCTCATTTTGTATCAATACCAGAAGCATTCAGTGTCCATGCTGTGGCGTACCTTCCTTCCCTGCTGCCCAGAGCCACCGTCCCCAGTCTCTAATGGGAGGGGGTCTGGGTGACATGCCTGTAAACCTCAGTGGCCCACTTCCAAGTGCATCACCAGAGTTCCCGACTCAGTGGGAGCTTTGTGCCATCGCCTAGCCTTGCTGTTGCTAATGGTGAGGGTCAGGCATCAGCAATAAGGTCATTGTCATGCTTACAGATACATTCACATAAACAGTCTTTAATCCTAAGATAAAAGGGTCCTGGAAACAGTCCCTGGCACATACTGGGCATTTGTCAAGCCTTTTATTTTTGTCTTCTGTTCTTTATGCCTTTCTTCAAGGTTAATTTTGTACCTATTAAGATTTGTTTAGGGGAAAAAAATTACCATTCTTGTTTCTATAAAGTGTACCTGGCTATAAAGCAACAGTTTTTATTCTGCCCAGGCCCTGCTGTTTGGGTTCATTTGTTTATGTTGCAATAGGTAGGATGCACGTGCTGTTTGAATGCCTAACATTGTGACCACCTTTTATTTTGTTGCATTTAGCCGGTCTCTACTTTTGACTGGAAAGAGATCAACTATTCAACTCTATAGTTTTGGAAAGAAAGCAAATGTGCTTATTCATGCTCCTCTAGCTCTGTAATATATATGTTTGAAAGCTGTTAGAGAAGTTGAGAGTCCTGGTGGTTTTCCTTTGTGCCTGAAGCAAGGTAACACTTCCTACATTGTCATTTCACGGCATGACGTGCCAGTTTGTTGTTGTTGTTGTGGCCAAATTGAGCCAATGTGGAGTGTGAGTGTTCTGTGTATCTGTTCTTGCCCGGGCCCTTTAGAAGGTTTCGTTAATAAGTTGTTGAATTCAAAGGAAGAAGGTGGTGGTTTTTTCCAGGTGACCCAATTAATGTTGTGTTTGGTTCTCAACTTCCCCAGTTGTTGTTTTTCTCTTGTTTACAACCTCACCTTTCAATACTGCGGTAAGAGATTCTCTGTGTTTGCTGACAGAAAACCTTTCCCTTTGTCCCACTGTAAGAGTCCCTATTGGATTAGATTCCATGCTTATGAATTATCATGCCAAGAAGAAAGGATTTGCCAAATTGTTCTCCTTTTCATTTCCAAAGACTCCCTTTCCTCATTCTCACATACAGGTCTTTTTTTCACAAAGGGGCAGATCAGAAGTTGGCAACAGATCCATGCCAGGGAATAATAAACATGTTAAAGGAGATGTGTGCTTTGGTTTCATGAGCTCTGGCTCATCTCTGTGAAGACTCTAAACCTTTTGGATAGGCAGGACACAGAGGTGCACACTGTTTTTCTCTTATGCTTTTTGAGGAGCATTTTTATAAATCAGAGGGGAGGGGAAATTTTATAAATCAGAAGGAGGGGAAATTGAGATCCAGGAGGTCTAGAGTAGTCTTTAAAAGTTTATCAGAAGTAGGAGCAGGCACAGTGGCATATTGGTTAAGTTTGTGCGCTCTGCTTCGGTGACCTTAGGTTCACAGGTTGTGATCCTGGGCACGGACCTACACACCACTCATCAAGCCATGCTGTGGCGGCATCCCACATACAAAATAGAGGAAGATTGGCACATGTGTTGTTAGCTCAGTGACAATCTTCTTCAAGCAAAAGAGGAAGATTGGCAGTGGATATTAGCTCAGGGCCGTTCTAGGTATAGAGTTCCCACTTGGACTCTCATCCTCCTGCCCTAGGGCTGGTGTGTTGATAATTGAGCAACAGTTTTACAAATTCATTGTTTATTGGTTACCAGTTAAAGTTAATAAGTGGTCTTATTACTTGTCTTAATAGAACACTACCCCTTGAGTGCTAAGAGAGTGGTATGAAGAGTATACTTTCCTTGTTTAAAGCTACATTAGAAATATTTGCTGGAGGATTTTATTGCAAAGGCTTCTTTCCATTACACTTTTCGACCTTTTTACTGCCAAGCCAAACAAAGATAAGAGTTTGCCTCACTAGGTAAATAAGTACTATATAGCTCTTCTTATTTTTTATTCTGACTAGTTGTGAGAATATAGTGGTAGCCTGGCAATTCCAGAATGGGTCTTCTTGCATGGCTGGAAGAAGGGAAATGCAAGTCAGCTTTCCAGGAATTTAAATTTCATGTAGTGGCAATTAAAAGTTCTCTTTAGAAGCCTCATGACATGAAATCATATGCAGGGGTCTAACAAGAATGACATAAAATATGTTTGACATAACCAGAATGTGCCTTAACATATGTTCATAGCTTTTTGCCTTACTTTAAAGATATGTAACAATTTTGTATAATCTGATTTATAAAAATGCTATAATTTCATGCCAGAAACACCAGAACCATGTTGAATGCAATTGAATTTTACATGTATAAAGTTTAGGAGGGCGTTTTCTTTAAATACCTTTACATCCTGTTTATGATGAACTCAAATGACTCAGAGAGAAGACAATGGGAAATAGTAGCCCATAGGCCCTGCGAGGGGAGGCGGTACAGTCCTACCATCAGTGTGCTCCTGAGGAAACCTGAGCGAAGATTTGGGACTAGTGATTGTAGATGGTGATTTAACGGTTTTACTTATTTGGTGGTTAAGGTTTAATTTTTTAAAGCCCGCATATCTAAATGCTTTTATCATACTCTCTTTGTGATGCTGAGAGGTGACTCCAATCAAGAGGCAAAATGTGGTGATTATGGCAGCTTGACTCAACGTTGGCGCTTCTTGTTCCTTTTGCTAGGCGCCACATCCTTTCCTTCGCCTTTCCCTTTCGAAGTTCCTAATAAAGTTTAATCTAGCAAGCCACAGTTTTGTTGTTGCCTCTATAGACCAAGAGTTCAACTTGTAGACTAACTCATTTTGTTTTGTTTTCTTTGGTCTAAATCCTTTATGGAATGAAGCAACATATAAATCAATATATCAATAATATCATATGCATATATGTATTAATATTTATATATATATTTTCAACAGCAAATCCAGTGAGTAAATAATCAGAGAAAGGCAAGATGGCCTGCTTCTTAGTGAAAGGACAGTTCTCTTACAGTCTGATCTTTTAAGGTTTTTCTTCTGTTCATATATTGAAACTATAGAAACGCAACCCAGAGTTGCATTTTCCAGAGTTTACGTTTTGGCCGATATAATAATCTCACTTGTTTTATGAGAATTTTGGTGGGTGGGAGAAACGTTGAGTTTGAGACTGTGTATGCATTGACAGTCAAAACTGTATTAAATCTCATGCAAGAAGATGGAGCTCTATTCATTTTAGTCAACCTAACATTCTGCCAGTGTCTGCTTGTCTTTTTATGACATTTCAGGTCATTGCTGACCTTGCTTCAGTGCCGTCTCTTCCTCTGAGTGACAAAACCACCCAGAAATTCTAGAGTACAAATACCAAACTCTCAGCTTGATTTCGAATTCTTGTTATGGCCCAATACAACTTATTTGTAAGGACTTATGGCCAACAAAGTGTGGATAGAGCTCATAATTATACACACTGATCTTGTTCACAAATTCCTGGGGCTCAGTAGTCAAGTCAGCCATTGTTTAAGCTGGAAGTTCGGATTTAGATATAACACAGCAAAGATTTTACTTCAGATGAGATATGGATCCCATTAAACATACAGTTTTTCTCTTGGCTTTCTGTTTTACTGTGTTTTATTGCCTCTAGCTATATTCTCCTTAGTTTTTGTTAGTAATACCTTGTAATTTAAAAAGTGAAAATAAAAATTCAAATTTTTGTTTTAATTTTTTAAAATTTGATTAAGGCATAGTATGACAGTTGCCGTCAGTAATATCAGTGTGCGCGCAACTTATGG